AGGGAAAAAATGGCAGAGAAGGGTGTGGTGGAAGAGGAAAGGCGCGTTGAGGAGGAAAATGAAGGACCATCAAAGAGGCGTCGGACGGGTTCGCGGCTCTGTGGCATTTGCCGCAAGACTGGCCACAATGCAAGGACATGCCCAGAGACTGGAGAAATAGATAGCTCAAGCGATTCTGAGTAGTTTCAATTGATCGCATCAGATTTTGGTGGACTTTTGGCAGTTTGTAGTGGTGTGGTCTAGAAAAGTGTCCCGGTCGATGGGGTGTCCCGCTCGATGGTGGACCACGTTAATGAAGGGGAGAACATATGGAGAACAAAAAAAGCCACGAAGACACTGCAAAGGCTTACCGGTTAACTCTCTTAACCGGTCGAAGAGAGGTAGCCGGCTGGGAAGCCCTTGAGAAGGTTCACTTCGCGGAGGGCGACGGGGCCTGGACATCGGTACGACCGAGAAACTCACCACCAAAGCTCCGAGGCTGGACCAACGCCATGGACCGTTAGGCTCCTTGGCCGTTGTCGTTGGGGATTAGGAAACCCGGCCCTCCTATATCAACCACCGGCGGGTGCTCACCGGGCCAAAGATTTCGCGTGCCCTCACCCGCAAGACTATCTATCACACCATACCCGTCACCGCCCCAACAGCAAGCACCTCGATCCGTCCCGCATACAGCCGCATCATGTGCGCGACCGGATCCCCCCAGACGACCCCGCGCAGTTGCTCGTCCGTGACGATTTGCGCCACGACGCCCTCGTGCAGCCGCTCTGCCACCGTTGCCTTCTTGCTCCGGAGCCGCGCCGCCTTGGGGCCGCCCGACCGCAGCACCACGATCCGGCCTGCGCAGCTGAGCGTGCAAGGGGAGACGGGCCAGACGGGGCCTGCGGCTTCTGATTTGAGGGAGCGGGTTGGTGTTGTCGTCTTTGGGGTGGTGTTTTTGGTGGGCTTGTCTCCCCGGCGTGGTTTATTGCTGTCAGGAGGGCCGGAGGGATGCCCCTTTGCCGAGTCTAGCCGTGGTTTCGGCGTGGCGAACAGCTCCAGCAAGCTCTTGACATACGCTTTGTCGGCCCGCGTTACTGGATCACCTTCGTTGACAAAGCTCATGAAGACGCTCTTTCGTGCTTGTGGGCATCGGACGTAGTCATTTGGTTTGGCCAGAGGCATCAAGCTGATGGGTGGTGTGCCAAAGGTGATGCAATGAATGCGTTTGAAGCAGCCAGAGACGGCGTTGAGCTCGCTTTCCGCTTCCTTGGACGTTGCGAGCATGTGGCTGTAGAGGAGCGCAGCGACCGCCCCTCCTGCGCTGTGACCCGTGATGAGGAGTGAGTACGAGGCTCGCCCGGGGTCTTCTTCGAGGAGCTGGCGAAGACGGCTAGCCACCGGGCCCACCATCTTACGCGCGACGGACAGAAACCCGGCGTGGCAGAGGTTTCCCGGGTCATCCTAATCGAATGAGCTTTATATCCTTCTGATAATGGGGAAGATACGACATACCAAGAAACCCATAGGCGATGTGGGCGTCGTGTCAAGATTAACGGCCCAGTCCATGAAGGTGGCTGTGCCGCGAATGGCGAAAACAATGGTGTTCATGTAGTCCATGGGCACCGACTTGATCACCATAGCCTTTGTCCCCGTCCGCCAATCTCCGCTGACGTGGGCATCCCGCTCGGCGCGCCCTGTAGGCAGTTCATACACGCGCTCAGAATACTGGGCTGCCAGACAGAGCAGTGGGTATGTGGGAATGAACCTGTGCCTCGTCAACCAGGGTACCAACAAAGAGCAAATAACACAGCGGTATGACATACAATTTGAGAGGGGGCAGGTTCATGGGCAAGCGCGAGTTCGCGTAATAGTCCACTTTGGTAAAGAAACTTCCCGACACAACCGCTGCCGCCATGGTTGTCTGTCCCTTGGGGTGGCCCTTCCCGGAGCTTTTCTTGCCAACTTTAAGCAACCCCTTCTCGCTCACAGGCGCAACTAGAGATACTGGCGGTGTCGCGGCCTGTGTTGGCTGCCAGGCGAAAATGTCGTGCTCCTTCCCATTGTAGCCTCCTTGGTCAATCGTGGTCAAGACGTTGTCGAGGCGGTTGGATATCTCGTTCACCAAGCCATTGCCTTGCCTGACAAGCTGATTCCCACAATTGGGCCACGATGGTAACACTTCGTTCAGCAAGCGCGGGATGCAGGTCCCCTGACATACTTCCTTGGCCAAGTCAACTGCTGACCCGAGATCCACTTTGTCCAGAGGGCTGCTGACGATGAACGAGGGTGCGGGGGCTTGCGAGGGAAGAGGGCCACCCAAGTAGTAGTGATGTTGATTCACGATAATAGGAGGATATGCCCCTAGCTGCTGGTACGAAGTTGGAGGCTGCGCTCCTCCATTCCAGCCAGGAGGTGCGGGGAGAAGGCCGGCCGGCTGGAAGGGGGCAGGTTGCTGATAAGAGCTACTGAGCAGCCCACCCTGGGAAAATTGAGTCGGCGCCGGTGGTCCTGGTTTTGGAGGGGTTCGCCGCTTTTGAGCCTTGGGCTCGGGTGTGGGTGAGTTCTTCTTCACTTTCCTCGAGCCACCAAAGAAGACCATGCCGAAGCCTGTTTGCGGTTTGGCATGTATGATTTTCTCGCACCTTTTCTCCCGAGACAGACTAGTAACGGCAGGCGAACAAGGCACGAAGTGAGCAAGTGAGAAGTGAGATGTAGCCACAAGTAGAGAGATGTGCTGGGCGATGCGCAAGGTAAATCAGGTAACTGAGGACAAGAAGACCAACGGCTTTTGGAGGGGTCTGGTGACGCGAGCTAGTTCCCCCGGCGTTGACGGACCCGAGGCGAACGGCCTGGTCCCCGCCAGGGCGGGAGTGCCTTACTGCATCTTGCAGCCAAGATGGCTCGATATCCCGGTCACACGGCGGCTGTGTGCTCCCATTCGCTGCCGTGGAACGGCTTCGCCTCGAATCATGATCAGCGGTGGCGGCTCTGCAGGCACAGCACTCACCAGTTCCCAGGGTTGGAGTTGACATCTGCATGAAAACCACAAGAGAGGTTCCCTGATGCCATTGCGCTCTCGCAGCTAACCGCCCAGCCAGTGTGGTGCAATCGAGGAACAGTTCGGTATTTGACGGCCATGCTCGGAGAGTGTCGCCAACAAGACGGCATGAAAGGCTTCCTCTTCCAAACCCGGCTGCAGACTGCCAGCCAGCTAATGGTTCCCGAGGCGCTGCGACCGGCCATGGAAGCCCGGAATTGGTGGAACAGAGTGTTGCTTTGGCCAGTTTATTAGGTTGCCGGCTTTGGTCCTCGACTTCGTGACAAGGCGCTGAAGATGCATGATCCCGCACAGTACCGCACTGGGGAGCACGCTCCACTCTTCTGGTTGACTAGGATAATACCCAAAGTGCTGTAATCAGCAGCACGCTGCGGGGGTAAAGCTGGCCCGGATCGCCCGATGCATTCATCAGTCAATTGAAACAAGAAACATCTGAGGTCGATTGGCAGCCAAGCTTCGATTCATGAAGGCTTGGCGAGCGAGCACGTATGAGTCCCACCCGCAAAGACGAAATACCTGTGTTGAGGCCGGCAATAGGAGCAGCCTCAATGCCGTCATTAATGATCTTGATATCGGGCACCATGGAATGTTGATGTGGATGACGGGGAGTGAGCGGTGTTGAGGTGAACATAGACCAATTCGAAATTGACTTGGCTTGGCATGGGTGGACCCTGGCTCCCTTTGTGCTTAGCGCAAGTGCCGGGCAGGGAAGCCACCACTGGACGGCATGGAGGGGTCGGGAGTCGGGGTTCCAGCGTCCTCCAACAAACGACTGAACAATTTCGCGACATTGGGAGCGCGCCGGTTCATGCAGTCGCGCAGGAGTTACCTAGACGGCAAAACCGGGTCTGCACTGTTTGGTTTCGTCTCCGCGATGCATCCAAGGATACGATGGATTTTGTGAGTACTCGATGCCATCATTCAAAGTGTGTGGTCTTGATTCCGCTAATACCTGCTGCTCGTTGCAGTGGTCGCGCCTCTTAGCACACACGCCGCTGGCCTCGGCAAGCTCCCGCAAGGACTTTGCCAAGGATCCTGCCCGTCGCCTGTATCGATTTGAGAAGGAGTACAGTCAGCTGCTGGTGAGCATCGCATGGCTTGACCTCGTGAGCAGGGCGGGCGCCTCGAGCTGACATGGGCGCTGCAGCACACATGGCGCAACTCGTCCAACCTCGCCCACGACCATGAAGCTGCCGAGAACATCGAGATCCGCCTCCAAGAGCTGACGAACCTCCTGAGCGACGAGTCCCGCCGGCCCCTGCCCCATCCCTGTATCGCCTTCGCTGCCGCCAAGCAAGTCTACATACCCGTCGCCAAAATCGCCTCGAGCTCCCTCAACGAATGGATCATCAAGGAAGCCGTGCTGTTCTTTGCGAGCCTGATCGAGAGCGATGAGGAGGCCTTTGTCGAGAGCGAGACCTTTGCCGCTAGCCTGACGAACCTGCTGGTTCGCATTACTGGTGCAAACAGCATCCGTCTCGGCGCTGATACCGAAGCACGCGTCGTCGAGCTGGCCTTCAACATCACCACCAAGATTCGCCTTGACCCGGGGATTCTAACCGCTTGGTTCAAATCTCAGTCTAATGGCTCGGACACCAGGCAGTTGGATTACCGCGAGAAGTTTGCAGGGAGGACGCAGAAGCAGGACTTCCCGTTGTTCTACCTGCTGATGGACTACATCCACCACGAGGGCAAACTCGGCGACTTTGCCAGGACCGGCCTGCTCTACATCATTGAAGCAACGTCACGCTCAGTCTTGCTGGAGCAGTGGATTGTTGAAAGCGACTTATCCACCCTGATGGCCACTGGCTTGGGGGCTCTGTATAGTCAACTGAGCCGCAAGCTGGTCATTGACCACCCGCCCAACGACCTACCTCCCATCCTCGCTTTCTCCGACTACCAGCATCCCAAGTCCAACTACGAAGTTGTCAGCTCCTGTTCCTTCCAGTTTCAGTCCCATTTGGACACTTTCCTCTCCCACCTCCTTTTCTGGCAGGACGTCCTGAACCACTGCAGGTCCGTTGAGGTCAAGTCGAGTTTGCTGGAGCACTTCCAGGTCATTTTCTTGCAACAACTACTGTACGTACACCCTGATGGTCATGACCAGCCGTCTGCTCACGCCTTCGCAGATACCCCTCCTTGCTCGAGTCTTCGGATGTTGACGGCGGCTCATCTGTGGCTGTCTTGACCTATCTTCGCCGCATTCTGGAATCACTGGACCACCCCGACATGATCAATCTCATCCTACACTACCTGCTGGGCCTACCGGACATTGTGGGCTCAGTCAACCCCGACTCGGAAGACGTCGTCAGCGCCGCCCGCAAGCGCAAGTCGCTGGACCTCGCCACCATGATGGCCTCCAAAGGAGAGGCTGCGGCGGATCCCTTGCTCTTTAACCTCGTCGATCTGATTCTGGCCTGCCTGCGGTCCCAAAACAACCAAACCGTCTACGTTACTCTCCAGCTGGTATCCGTGATCCTTAAGAGGCACCATCGGTACGCAGTTATAACTCTCCTCTACACAGAAGGCGTGCTTGGCGAGTCCCTTCACCGGACATCGGGCGCCCATCATCAGGAGGTCGAGTATCTCATATCCCTGGCCGGGAGCGTTGGAGGGCAGGATAACTTTGACGAAGTTTACGATAATATTCTAAAGGACACGCTGGTTCGGTTGGAGAATCACCCGTGCTCCATCAAGCTGGTCACCCCGAGGATCTCTGCTCAGACCCATAAGCTTCCCGCCGTTCCCGACACCCTTCCCGGCGCACCACGAGAAGTCCGGTCCCACACCCTCCACCCGAGCGACCCACTGCTCAATATAATTCTTGACCGGCTCGAGACTTTCTTCCTCAACCCTGTTGATACGAACCTTGCTCTGACCGAGGCCATCTTCGACCTTGCCGCCTGCGGATTTATGCATTTGGAGGGCTGGTTCCTGCGGAGCCCGCTGAACTATGTTTACGAGGAGGAGGACGACAGCCCTCCTTTGCCCGAGCCCCCACCGGACCCTGAGTCGGAGGAGTACATCGAGTATAAGCAGATGCAGTCGATGAGGGAATCTCGCCGGCGGCCACGGTGGATCCAATCGAGCCTCCCGCGGCTACTCAGAGTCCTACAGTCCCTTTGCGATCAGGTCGCCGTTTACCGGGAAACCGTCCCACGCTTCGACGACTTGCTCCAACAGCGCCGCGAGGCGTTTCAGATAGCAGACTGCGCTAGTCAACCCCTTCCACTACATCCCCCACGAAACACAGCCCCAGTCTCGCAACCTTCGGCGGCTACCACAGCTACTCCCACCGCCGACCGAACGACCCTGTTCTCCGATGAGGGGCGCAACATTTCGCGGGAACGCCCTTCCGGTCTCGAAGGCTTCGCCCAACGCATCCTCTCCGAGCTCGGCACACCTACTCGCTCGGGCAGCCCGCGCGGCCGTAAGGAAGCCAAACAGACCCCATCAGACCGCTCAACCGACACGCCCTTCCGCCCTCCCCCGCCCCAGCCCAGCAACAGATCCTTCTCCCCGGGAACCAGCCCGGCCCCTTCTTCCACCCTGCCCACACCATCTGGCCCCGCTCCCTGGGACGATAGCAGCAACACGACCGCCGACGCCTTCGCCAGCCAGGCGAAGGCCTCCCAAGCGATCGACCAGAGCATCCTTGCCCGGCGAGTCGGCATCCCTGACGTCTCCTGCTCCACTGCTGCTGCTGCCGCGGAGAAATTGGTGGGCCAGCCGATCGCGCTCAGTTTCGACAGCAGGCAACGGACCGCCGGGGGCGTGTCGGATGCCGATGAAAAGCTTGCTGCGGCCGAGGAAGAGGCTCAAGCCCACGAGGGTGGGGGCGAGGATGCGTTGCTTGCGCCGTCGGAGGATGGGGAGGGGTCGGAACGTGGTGAAGACGGTTTCGAAGGGGAGGGCGGTGGGGAGCCCGGTACGCCGAGCGGTGGTGGTGGTGCCGGGGAGAGGGGGACTGTGTCGGTGTCGCATGCCTTGACGAATGTTATCGTGCTGCAGGCGTTTTTGTTTGAGTTGGCTAGTCTGGTGCAGGTTAGGGCGGGCTTGTTTGATGAGGTCCGGTTTGCTTAGGTGGCGGATGAGGGAGTGCCTGTGCGGGAGGGTCCGCGAGGGGGAATAAATGGCGTGGAGGTCGAGGTGAATCCGGAGGAGGAAACGGAAGGGGAATGTGAAAGGGCGAGGGACTGGTTGGGGCCGGCTTTCGAGGCGAGAGAGGTCCTGAAGGGACTGTTTGGGCTGTGAGGGTGGCTGGGGTTGGAGCTTATGGATGGGATTCCGTGCATTGCTTGGTGTTAGTGGAATTGCTGGCATTGGTATTTACTGAGCAGCACTTTTTGCATGGTAGATCAGTCCGGTTGAAGCTTCTTGTGTATTCACATGTTGCGAGTACCAATGGCCGTGATGCCCATTTCCACATATGTTGAGGAGATTGCATCCAACCAAGCACACATTCGCGACATAGCAGTGCAGCTGCCCAACTCGGCATCGCCGACGTGCTTGGGATCAATTTGAATCTGTATGGGATGACCCAACTTACCTTCTGGGTTTTCTGGAAACCCATTCGGTTTGACTCTCGGTCGGAAATGGAACCGAGTCTGGTTTCACCAACCGCCCTGGATTGTGAACAATCCGACCAGGCATCGAACCCGGGGAACACCGACATGAGGTTGAGCGGGAGGGCGGAGAGAAAAGGGTAGATTAGATGCCAAGGGACTACTTCTGACCCACGGTGCATCATTTACGCATTGAGTTAGCTCTCCTTTGTAGCAAAGCTAGTCGCGAAGTGCGGTTCAGGGGTAACAGCCTCAATCTTGAAACACGCAAGATCACCATCCTCTGATCGGATCATCTCAACGCCGTCATCGTCCAGTGGCGCATTTCGGCCTGGTCTTACAGTCCGCGTGTTTACGCGGCATTACAGATCCCCAGATTCGGTACGCATGGATTGATCGCCAGGATGAACACTGGGCATGGGTACTGATTTGAAGATGCATATAGGAGCTGTTCGCCGTTCAAAATCATTTGGGGAAAACAGTCAGCTAGGCAAATCATTCACCCATGGTGCTGAAGTTGCACTTCTAGATATTCCCTAAGTAGAACTTCGGAAGAGAGACTAGGATGTCGTCCAGCATGACGAGACTGGCACGCGCCTTCTTGATGGCATACAGCCTCGTGTCCAGAGCAGCAGCGCAGAGCCAGACCCAAGGCCAGGGCCTGCACTCGCTGATGGTTGCGGCCGGCAAGCTCTACTTCGGCACAGCCACGGAAACCAACAACTTCAACGACGCCGCCTACCAGGCCATCTCGACCAACAAGAATGAGTTTGGCATGTTCACGCCCGAGAACTCGCAGAAATGGGAAGTGACAGAGCCAACACAAGGCCAATTCGTCTTCACCCAAGCCGACCAGGTCGCGCAGAAGGCAGCGTCCAACGGTCAGCTTCTGCGCTGCCACACCCTGACCTGGCACTCCCAGCTCCCGTCATTCGGTTCGTGTCATTCCCCCCTCCTCCTTCACCATCCCACTAACTGACTCCCCGATCGCCAGTCTCCTCGGGCACCTGGACTCCCGAGACCCTCTCGGCCGTCCTCGAAGCGCACATCAAGAGCGTCATGACGCACTACGCCGGCCAGTGCTATGCCTGGGACGTCGTCAACGAAGCGCTCAACGACGACGGCACTTTCCGCGAGTCTGTCTTCTTCACGACCATGGGCCCAGACTACATCCCTATATCCTTCCGCGCCGCAGCGTCGGCCGACCCGTCCGCCAAGCTGTACTACAACGACTTCAACCTCGAGACCACCTCCTCCAAGGCTGACGGCGCCGTCAAGATTGTTCAACTTCTCAAGGACGCAGGAGCCAAGATCGACGGCGTCGGGTTCCAGGCGCATCTGACGGTGGGGCAGACGCCTTCGCGCGAGGAGCTCGCCGCCACGCTGAGCCGGTTCGCGGCGCTGGGCGTCGAGGTGGCGTACACGGAGCTGGACCTTGCGCACGCGTCGCTGCCCGCGAGCGACGCCGACCGCGAGCAGCAGGCACGCGATTACGTGGCTGTGGTCGGGTCTTGTCTGGACGTGGCGGCGTGCGTGGGCGTTACGGTGTGGCAGTTTACCGACAGATACAGCTGGGTGCCCAACACGTTCCCCGGTAAGGGGGACGCGTGTCTGTACACGTCCGAGTACCACAAGAAGCCGGCTTATGAAGCGGTGCTGGAGCTGTTGCAGGGGGCGGCCGCTGCGGCGGGAGGTTCTGGGTCTGGCGGTGGGAGCACTGGGGAAGGGGCCTCATCGAACTCGACTCGGACCGAGTCGTCTGCGAGTATCTCAGCGGCAACAGCAGCCCTGAGTGGCGCTTTTGGAGTCATGGGTGGGCTGGCTTGTCTGGCTTTGCCCGTGGTGGCTGCTTTTTTGGTGTTTTAGAGCGCGAGGTTGGGCACATGGACGCGGCGCAGGCGTGTACATGGTGTATGAGTAGAGCCAAGGGGCTTCAGCAATAGACTGCAGGATAATGCGGGGGGACAATGGTCCAAGATGCGTTTCTCGGCGCATGCAGATGTGACTTGAAGCATGTATTTCCAAGCGAGTACTGTTCCATCCAAACTCTTTCTATTCTATGTATCCTCGGGAGTCCCCAATATAAGGTGAGAGTAGTTCGAGTCCGCGAGCTCAACTGGGCCTCTATTAAGCAGGCAGAACTCCCTGGGGGAAATGAAACAAATCATCCGGATCAACCGCCTTCTTTATAGCCTGCAGCTTACGCAAGTGAGTTCCCCAGTAGTTGGCTTGGGCATCCTTCTGATCAAGCCTGGAATCGGGATAATTGATGTACATTCCCCAATCGCTCTTGGCCATGCCCTGGGTGATGTTGGCAGCAAAGTTCGCCATGATGGTGTGGCCGTCAGCCGGGTAGACGCCTTTGTCGACGCGGTCATAGAGCAGGTACATGAGAAGATAGTCGCGGTGAGCATACGCGGCCGAGTCCACGGCGGGCTTTGCCACGGCTGAGTTCTCGCCGCCGTGCAGGTCGATTTGCACATACCAATCTCTGGTGTTGTTCTTTGCCTGCTTGAACCAGTAGCTCACAAACGTCTGGAGCTGCTCCTCATTGAGCGCCTGGGTGTACAAACTGGTTGAGTAGAACGTTTCGTGCTGGGCAAGGTTAGCGAGGAATTTCTCTCATATGTTCTGGTTTGTTCTTACCTCCTCGTGACCATGTCCCAGGTCAATGTTGGAGCCACCGAAATGCTTGACTTGGTCGAGCCAGCCTCCCGTTCTCGCCAGTGCCAGCGTTGCATTCGTCTTCTTCATCAGGGGTGCCAAAACAGACTGTAACCCCTCCTTATCGCCGTAGTACAGACCCTCAAGGTTGACGAAGCGTCTGGCAATAAACAGACGCATGTTCAACTCCGCCGGCATGGTTTTGGCAAACTCCTGGACTGCCGTCAAGCCAAGGAGAGCTCTTGCCTCGGTAGGCCATTGCACCGGGGCGGCAAAGTAAGTCGCCTTCTCGGGGACCTCGAAGGTCTTGAAGCGGAACTCGGTCACGATGCCCATGGATCCGCCGGCCCCGCGCAGAGCCCAAAAAAGTTCGGCGTTCTCGGTTTCCGAGCAGTTTACGATGGTAGAGTTCGCCAGCACAACGGTTGCGCCGACCATCCAGTCCAGAGCAAGGCCGTGAGTGTGAGCGCTCAAGCCATACCCGCCATGAAGCACATGGCCTCCAACGCCGACGCTATATGTGTCAGCCGTGGAAACCCAGGAGTGCTCGTCAGTCCAGGGCCGCTTACCCCGGGCATGTACCATGGCTGATTGCTCTCTTTCCCTGGTTGTAGAGCTCCCATGCGAGGTGGCCGAGGCGAGAGCCGCCTTCTACTGCTGCAATGCCGGTAGCGTTATCCAGGACGACCTTGTTCATCCGGCTCATCTCAATAACCAAGTGCCCGTCCTCTCCACCGAGTCCAAAGGCAGCGTAGCTGTGCCCGCCGCACTTGGCGTTCGCCTTGATGCCCAACTGTCTCGCACATGCCACGGCATCCTGTATGTGCTTTGTCGTGGTGATGGCAGCGACGGCAACAGGTGTGTAGTTGAGGCGCAAGTTGAAGGGCGTGGCGTCAAGCTTGTACTCGGTAGACCCAGTTTCGTCGACCGGCACGCCGGCCTTGATCAGACAGTCGGCAAGTGCCTCGGCTTTGTCAAGGGGGGATGCATAGAGGGCACCTGCCAAGCCCACCAGGGCGAAAACGTGGTGGATCATGGGCATGAGGCGCGGTTGAACTACGGCGTGAATAGAAGGAGGATAAGACGGGGTAGCCTTTAGTTTAAGGGGTTGTGACCCTTGGGGTGCTCTTAGATGTCCCTCGCGACCCGGTCAATTGCCGACTGGAAACCGCAGGGAATTATGGTATATACCTGACTGCGGAATGGCTGACTTCGCGGATCAGGCGCTTCCTCGCCCTCGTCGACGACAGACAGGAACGACAGACAATGGAGTCGGGTCATCCACAATTCTGTATCGTCTGGCGCTCTCCCGACGCTTATATGCGGCAGGCTTGACGTACTCTAGACAGACCTGAGTCAGCGGAGCAGCAGGATCGGATCACTGACTGTTTTGCCGGCCTTACTTTAATTAATCTGGACAGTCCTCGTTGGCAGAATGGTAACATAAAGGGGCTGTTGATCCCGGAATTCCTCTTCCTGGTGCGCTGCGGGGAGGCTGAGGCGGGCTTGGGGCGGCATGATTGAGGATTAATCTCGACGTGCAGAGCCTCAGCGCGCTGTGAAGCATCGCGAACGGCGCCGATCGCCAAGGACAAAAGGATGACACTGCAAGAAGCGAACGTCCCTCTATGAGCGGCTTATCGGGAAGCAATATACAGTGCCTAATTAGGGCGATCTGCGCTGTCATCCGAGACTTGACCTTTTCCCGAGGGTTCGATAGCAGAAACTTATGATGGTATTTGGGGCCTGTGCCGTCAGTTGCGTCTGGGACACCGTTTTGGTGTACTTAAAGTTGTTAGTACCGCGCCTTGAAACACGACGTCTGACATATGTAATAGAATGTTCCGTGACCGTTCTGTGCTTGGGTAGGCTGGAAGGGTGTTGTGTTGTGAAACTTGGGCGGATTCTCAGCCTGGATGGAACAAGTGACTGTACCAAGAACAGATATTAAGGCCCAGGCGATGTATATTGCGCGGTTCGAATTAACCGACGGTGCCCCAGGGCCTCTTGATGGGGGGAACGGGGGGGGAGGGGGGAATCCCCCCGATCATCGAACCTTGAGAGGCGGAGAGTTCGGAATATGTGAGGTTCTGGGGGGTTTGCTGCACTACTCAAATGTAAACTCAGGCATAAAAAAATAAAATACACTGGACTGTGGTGGTTCATCCAGTAATTGAGAAGCGAAGTTTCTGAACACTGTGTGGCGCAGGCAGCCAATCGCTCCTCCGAGAACTCATCTGCCAGAGCCCAATAACGAAGCGGAAGCTCCTTCCTCACTCATCATGTGTAAACAAAATGTCAAAGTTCATCATTGAAGCGAACTTCAATGACTCGGATGCGCTAATCACAATGAAGATGCTCATCATGGTCCCACCCAGTCGTGAGGTTCGCTGGGAGGCGGCGGGTTCGTGCAGCGGAAAGAGCGATGGCTGAATCAGGCTGCCGGCTGATGACGTTGCGGTTCGACCGGTTTTTATCCACCGCGACAAACGGCGGAAAGACCTGCAAAATGACAAGCCTAAGGTATCCATCGATTGCCTTCCGAGAAATCAGACTGTCACTTTCTTGCTGCTCTGGAACGGAACGTTAACAGAAAACGGACGGGGTCAAAGGTGCCAAGTTTGGATTTCTAGGCCCGAAAGCTTACCTCAGAGACCTCAGTGATTCAAGTTCAATCAAGATCCCAATAGCCGGTCTTGCCTCTCCAGTTAGGTACAACACCTTGGGAGGTACTCTGAAGGAACGTGGGAATAAAGTCTTTGAATTTCAGTGGCATATTTGCGGGGATCCGTTGTTCGTCTTTGTTGAAAGCAGTCAATGTATCCCTCTCAGAGCCGCGGCGATGGCAAAGTTCATGATATGAATCCTGCGCTACAGCTCCCTGGCGAGGTGTAAGCCGGGCAGTCTGATGGATTTGGCTGACCGTTGAGTACTGCATCCCAATGAGGCCGGAAGATGTGCTCCGCTTGCTGCGTCTCCAACCACAGTACGCTTTTTACGTGGACGGATGCTTCGTTCCAAGTGCAGAGAATCAGAGACTCGGCTGTGTCCCTTGCCATCCTCGTTGACCATTGGTAGTGTGGTGTGCCGCTTGAGGCCACCATCCCAACTGCCAGCAACCAGACACCAAGCGACAAAGTCACACTCGGAGTCGACTCTAGACGCTGGAGGTGCTTCATAAGCTTATCCAGAGTCTGGTTGAATATTACTGCGTGGGAGAAATAGGTCGGCCCTTGTATGATAAACATGTAGAGTACGGTTGCGTAGCGGACACATTCGGTGAGTGGGGACGACGCTGGGCTTGTTGAGTCCGGGGCTGAGAGTAGAAGGCGGTGTATGACGAAGCATGTCAGGTCGTGAAGCTGCGTGGTGGGGAAGGGTACCCGTCCGGCTCGCTGGAAGACGCTGCGGAGGCGTATGAAGACATTTCGGACATCGTAATCCACGTTTAAAACGGTGATGTCGGCTATGGGTACAGCGTGTTCAAGAGTGGCCGAATCGAGCTGCCATTCTGGAATAGGAGGTATGCCGTGACCTATGCCAGCATCGTCTTGGGTGTCGAATTGGGGATGACCCATGATAAGCATCGATACCCTTTGATGTCTGAGTGATGGCATAGCACGAGCTGAGAAGATGTGGACGACTTACCAGCTAACCATCCTTGCAGTAAGTGGACTTGTTTGCCTCACTGCCTTGATACCCCCTCTCAAGTCGACGAGTTTCTTGACACCGTCAACGTGCATCTGGGCAACCTCGATATTGCCTTTACCAAACTGAGGTGGTAGGTGGACAGTCAGCAAGGTAAACAGCAGGATGGGACAACGGCCGTCTTACTTCAATGGTTGCCAGGGTGATGACAGAATTCATGGTTCCGTCTTGGACGGCGAGTGAGGTGTCGTCGACTTTACGTCGAAGCAGAGCCACCGAGTCGACCATGAGCAGGTCCGACGTGCGAAAGCCCCTCCGGGCCAGCAGCTCCTCGTCAAGGCATGCTGTTTGCAGAGAGACGTGAAACAAGGCCGGGTCCGTCAATGTTATTGGCCACCACGAGACGAGAAAGGGGTTCGTGGCCGCATTGGGATCGAGGGGATAATACTGGAATGCAATCTTATGGAGGACTGAAGAGAAGCGTTAATCATTGAAGTCCGTTTCAAGGACATGATGACGTACAGCTGTGAATGAGCCGTTGAACATGTTCCCGAGGCAGCCTTGTTGGAGGGTAGGAGTCAAACGGGTCGACAGATGCGAACCTGTAGCCGGCAGTTAAGGGGGCGGATGTGCCGGAATGGTCTAATGTTGCTGGTGCGGTCAATGGCTCGTTTGCATAGACACATTGCACCTGGCGCTTGACGCAGCGAGAGCAGCGAGGCGTGCCGAGGTCGCAGCTGTGTTTTGATCGGGCGCAGGCAGTGCACGAACGCCGAAGTGTGTAGCGCATTCCGTCAGGGGGGCCGCCGAGACAGGGCCGAGAAGGTGGTTGGTTGAGCGACGGGGTACCTGAATGACACTGCACAATAAGTGATATTTTTTGAATATTCAGGTATCGTGGTAGCTGACCATGTCCCAACGGAAAGGAAAAGGCCGAACTGCAATCAGGGAGAGCTGCTCGCTGCGGCTCGGGTCCCCAATGGGAATGGTTGTGACGGCAACGAGTACAATCTTCTCAGTTCCTTTTCTTGGTGGTCAATTCGCATGGAAGCGAGCAAAAGGATAAATGAGCCCCAAAGTGGGATGGTTGAAGCACGGAGGACCACAAAAGTCAGCTTAACTGAATCAGGCCTAGTCTCCGCATGCCTTGCGTGCGTCCGCTCGTGGTTTCGTTGCGCATGCAATGACCGGCGGAGTCTAATCCTCATTAGGTAGCCAAAAGTGGAGCAGCACCGGCGGGCCGGAGCGCCGAGCCCGGGCCGTCGGACATTGGAGAAGGTTGGGTGTAAGTCAAAAGGGATGAAAGCCAATATCTTGCTCGGCGGGAAGTGACTAGAACTTTCTTCCAAGTTGTAAGCTTCAAGATGGTTACCGATATGATGAACACTTTCGGCGCATCTCCCGGCCTGGTCGAGAGGTTGCCGGGGTGGACGGTGACGACGTCCGAATGGCAGCTGCCAGCCGATATCAGTGCGTTTTGTGCGGAGTGGTCTATCTGGCAGTATATAATTACGTTTTTCCTCGGCCTGGTGATTTATGACGAAGGTAATCCTCCGAAACGCCCACTATCACGTCTTCTGGGCTTGGACAGAGCGACGCGACATGAGCTGACGATTCTTCCAGTGTTGTACCTTCATCGAAAAGGCTCCCTTCCCGGGCCTCGGTTCAAGTTCCCGCTCACGGGTCCCTTTGTCCAAGCACTGCATCCAAGATTCGAAGGTTATCTTGAACAATGGGCAAGCGGTCCTTTGAGCTGTGTTTCCATCTTCCACAAGTGTGTCTTGGACCAGCCACGTCCGCACTGCAATGAATGAATGCAACCTGACATACTTGTTTACAGATTCATCGTCCTTGTGTCAGACAGAGAACTCGCCCACAGAGTCTTCAAGTCCCCCCAATACGCCGAGCCGTGCATCGTGCCGCTCGCCAAAGACATCATCGGTCACAAAGCATGGGTGTTCCTTCAGGGAAAAGCCCACGCCGAGTATCGAAAGGGACTGGCACCCCTCTTCACCAACAAGGCTATGGCCACTTACTTTCCGGCCCAAGAAAAGGTGCTGGCCGAGTACTTTGATAGATTCGTCGCCGCCAGCGCTGCCAACCACGGCCGGCCCATTGCTTTCATGACCATGTTCCGCGAGATCAACTGCGCACTCTCGTGCCGCGCCTTCTTCGGCGACTACATCACCCCCCCAGCCGTCGAGAAAATCGCCAATGACTTCTACCACGCAACCGCCGCCCTCGAGCTTGTCAACGTGCCTCTTTCCATCTACATCCCTTTCACCAAACCCTGGCGCGGCAAGCGGACAGCCGACGCCGTCCACGCCGAGTTCGCCAAGTGCGCCGCCGCATGCAAGCGCAACATGGCCACGGGCGCGGCCCCGACCTGCGTTGTCGATCACTGGGTGCGACACATGTTCGAGTCGAACCGCTACCGCGAGCGCATCGCCTCCGGCGAGATGGACATTGAGAAGCCCGCCCACCTCATCCGCGAGTTTACCAACGATGAGATATCCGACACCCTCTTCACCTTCCTCTTCGCTTCACAAAACGCCTCTAGCAGCGCTACCACCTGGCTCTTCCAAATCCTCGCCCAGCGCCCGGACGTGCTGGACCGTCTGCGTGAGGAGAACCTCACCGCGCGCGGCAGCGACAAGACCAAGCCGTTTGATCTGCCTATGCTCGAGTCCTTGTCCTACACGGCGGCCGTCATCAAGGAAATTCTCCGCCACCGACCACCCGTCATCTTCGTCCCCTACTTGGCAACAAAGCCTTTTCCCATTACCCCGCAATACACGGTGCCCAAAGGCACCCTGGTCATCCCCTCGTGCTATCCCGCGCTACACGACCCCGAGGCCTACCCCAACCCAGACGTGTTCGACCCTGACCGGTGGATTACGGGCGACGCCGAGAAGCATACGAGGAATTGGCTGGTGTTTGGTGCCGGAGCTCACGACTGCTTGGCTAGGAGGTATGTGCCGCTTGTCATGGCGGCAATGATTGGCAAGGCGGCGCTGGAGCTCGACTGGAAGCATGTGCCGACGGAGAGATCTGAGGAGATCAAGGTTTTTGCCACGCTTTTTCCGATGGTGAGCATTCCCCCACCCTGGATATCGACCCGGGATTGGAGCTCTGTGGCTGTTGCTGACGGTTGATGCTGTAGGATGGGGCCCGGCTGGTATTTACGAAACGGCCCTGAGCAGAGAGCGGGAGGTTGACCTCGTGTTGCTCAACTGAGGTGACCAAGGGGGATGGTTCAATAAGGCTTTATCCATGCGCCATTGCTTATGTGATTGTAGGCTCCAGCTAAGACTGTAGTAGGTAGGTATGTACATGTAGGCACCGAGCAAAGAATACCCACGAGACCACAACGCTTGAGTTTATGTCCTAACCACTTCCGTCGCAGAGATGTACTGGCCATCTCCCGTGTACCTCCACCTCGTGAAGTAGGCGTTCGGCGTCCCAGTCGGGCAATTCAGACCCTGTCCAGCCCCATTGCAAGTAGAATATACTCCGATCAACGTCCCAACGAACGAGCCACTCCCTCCGCTCAGCAGCTCCGCCGACGCAGTGCCCAGCACCACCCTCTCCCTTCCCTTCGGTTTCGCCGGCATTGCTGCAAAAGTATACTCGGTCGGCGTTTTCATCTGTATCTCCAATCGTAGCTTCTCACCCGCCCACTTCTTCGGCACCGCCGTCGTCGTGATCTTGCCCGAAACATTGAACCTAAAGCTCAGCTGCTCGTCAAGCAGCACAACGCCCAGTTGGATATTCGCCTTTTGCGTCAGGAACGCCACCACCCCAGCCTCCTCTCCGTTCTTCTTGGGCTCGAATTCCAGATCAACACTAAACGTAAACAGACTGTGCGTCTGCCGCCGCCCAATGAACGAAATCGCCTTCGCTGCCGGCTCGGTACCTCCCGGCAACCCAGACAGAGCATTCCGCCCCGGCACCACCTGCAACCCCTTTTTCGTCACGCTAAACATCCCCTCCCTCGGTACCCGCCAATGAACCAGATTCCTCGGGATAACCTTGCCGGGCTTCTCAAAGTCATAAACATCCGGGTCCTGATTAAACGGCCCGTCACCAGGCACACTCGTCCGATCGGCCCGCGGCAGCGGCCACCCGCTCATCTTGCCCCTGACGGGCTGCATGACGGGCCAATCCCCTTGCTTCCACGTCACGGGGAAAAGCACCGCCTCGCGGCCCATCGGGTACGACCTGTACTCGGGCCCGGAGCGCGTGGCGAGGCACATCCCCCACCAGTTGCCGCGGGCGTCCTGGAACAGGTCACCGTGGCCGACCGTCTGGAAATACTCGGCCGTGCCGCGGTTGGTGAGGGCCGGGTTGTGCGGCGCCGGCGTGTACGGCCCCGTGAGGTTCCGCGCGCGCGCCATTGTGATGGCGTGGTCCAGCGCCGTGCCGCCCTCGGCGATCAGGAGGTAGTACCAGCCGTCCCTTTTGTAAATGTGCGGCCCCTCGGGCCACACGCCCCCCGTGCCGTTCCAGAGCGGGATCGGCGGGCCGATGTCGCCCGTGGTGAGGTCGAATTCTTGCAGCTGGACGCTGTGGGTGGCGACGTAGACTTTGCCGTCGTCGTCCCAGAAGAGGTCCGGGTCGATCTTGGTGGTGGGGAAGACGAGAGCGTCGCTCCAGGAGGCGTCGTCGAAGGGGTTGGTGGTCCGGAACAGCACGCCGGATTCCTTGCCTGGCGCGTCTAGGTACTCACAAATCACGTAGAAGACGCCGTCGCGGAAGCGGATGGTGGCAGCGTACATGCCGCCTTGCTGGTTGTCGGTCACCCAGCTATAGCCGGGGAGCTGGGACTCACGGTTCCACACATGGCTGACGTGCTTCCAGTTGATCAGATCCTTGGATGCGTAGATGGGGAGGCCGGGAAAGGAGATGAAGGTGGACGTCACGCAGTAGAACTATCAACGATGTCAGTTGTGAACTTCCTACTCTGGACGCCGGCGTGTAAGGCAGTAAGGCGTTTAAGTGGGAAATGCGCAGTCTGGGGAACAGAATGGCAATATGACTCCTGAGACAGCTATAAGAGATATAAACAATTCACACACAAAGAAGATTGGTGCTTACGGTTCCGCTGACGTGGATGCAGGACGGATCAGAGTGCCAGCCGGGGAGAACGGGGTTGTAGTAAGTCGAGTTTTTGGCTGCGCACTGGGCGACCAGTCCCAAGGTCAAACCGACGGCGAGCTTCATGGTGAAAGGGGCTGATACAGAGCCTGCGCACCGCCCTATCTGCAAGCAATACCCGGCTCTACTGAGGGATGAGATCCGTCAATATACTCTCAGCCTCAATGGCAGTGATTGGCACGCCTAATCACTTACACCGCAGTTGCAATGCCAAGCCGGGTCTTTCAACCGCGGGAGCATCGATCCCGGTTATATCTGGAGATCAACAGATGCCCGCAGTTTTCCGCCAGTAACAGCCTGTGGCTAAATATGGATGGGGGGCCGCTGCAGCATGCTTCTCCTCCTGAGTTGAGAACGGGTCTGTTTTCCCCGCAGGGAAGCTTTGTGGACACCGGACAAAGTCCTAGGACCCTAGGATCCACAAAGGCATCATGCTGAAATGAGCGTTGGATACGCGAAAGGGGGAGTGGCCCGAGTACGTTGAGGCGCAAGGACTAGAACCGAGTGCTGTCTCACTGCCTAAGGGCAAAGTCCAGCATACCTCCATTATATTAGTATGTACCTATTCCACGTCGTATCCCTGAGTTATCAGTAATTATACAACTCCAGGTTTGAAAGAGGATTTGCTTGAAGAGGGTCCATCGAGGCATGTCACATTCCGTTGTGACCATCCCCCCGTTGAACTCCTCCACGCCCTTCCTGGTCTTTACCCCTATTATATCTTCTTGACATCAAACCAATCAAGATCCATGACCTTGACCCAGGCGGCCACAAAGTCAGCCACCATTTTGTCCTGGCCGCCAACCTCAGCGTACACCTCAGCGATAGCCCTCAGCTCAGCATGCGAGCCAGAGACGAGGTCCGCCCTGGACAATCAGGTCGGCCAGGGAGACATGTTTCTTGCCGTCCTGGTTGAAGGCGTTTCTGATGTTGGCCAACTGGCAGGTGGGTAGGCGGTCAGTTAGTGCAAAGGATCTCTGGGGTCACGAAGACGTTTGCGGACAGTGCCAAGGGGAAGGGCATACCGCGGCAAGGACAGTCTGCAGCTGCTTAGGGTTGTTAACTTCCCACGAGACCTGGGGGTTGCAAAGCGATGCGGGCACCGTTGGCGCCGTAGATGGGATCCTCGCGCAGGGCGATCACTGACCAACATGGTAGGCCGGCGGAACGTTTTGCTGTTGAAGGGCTGGGGGTACTCCTGAGGCCCCTGGGAGTGCCTCAGATTGATGGGCGCCGGCCGGGCTCTTGGTCAGGGTCCATTCATGCTTGAAGAGGCTCGTCAAATAGTCTGTGACGCCGGTGAGTACCCGAATTATTTGAGTTTCGGCACAATGTCAAAACCTCAGCGCCTACCGTTGCTCCATTTTGTCGGCGTCCTGGACCAGATGACCTCCAGTCCGCTCGTGATGGTGTCGACAGCGTTCCTGGTGCCGAAAGGGTTGGCCCAGCCGAAGCCCTGCTCCTCAAGAGCTGCGCCTTCAGGGGCGGGACCGACCGCTACGAGGATGTCAGCACATCAACTCCAGCACACGAAGACACTGCCACTCACCGGTGCTCGACGCGCCGTGAGCCTTGCCAAAGGCGTGGCCTCCGGCAATCAGGGCGACGGTTTTCGAGTCGTTCATGCCCATGCGGCCAGAAGTAGTGCGGATATCCAGAGCAGACAACTTGGGATCAGGGTTGCCATCGAGGCCTTGGGGGTTGACGTAGATGAGACCCATATGAGCGGCAGCAAGCGGCTTCTCCGGTTTGCTGAAGCGTCCGGCATAGTCGGTGCTGCCGTTGTAACGCACGTCGTTGCCCTTGGGCATCCAGGTGGTCTCAGAGCCCCAGTAGATGCTCTCATCCGCCTGCCAAGTGTCGGGACGGCCGGCACCAAAGCCGAGGACGGGGAAGCCCATCTCCTCGAGGGCTACATTGCCCGCCAAGATATAAAGGTCGGCCCATGAATCGCCTTGCCGTACTTTTGCTTGATGGGCCACAGCAGACGCCGTGCCTTGTCCAGGTTGCCGTTGTCGGGCCAGCTATTCAGCGGGGCAAACCATATCTGGCCCTATTCGTGGGAAGCATGTGCTTGGCTGCTGCGGCCGAGGAGCCCTGGTCGGCGAGCATGGAGGAGGAAGAACTGCACCATGCCGCCGCCACCACGTCCATCCATGGCGCGGTAAGTACCGGCACTGTGCCATGTCAAGCGGATGAACAAACCACCGTAGTGACCAAAGTCGACCGGCCACCGAGGCTGGGACTGGGTCATCAGTGCCTTGAGGTCCGCCTTGAGGTCCGCCTTGAGTCCCTTGTCTGCAAAGAGTCTCGTCAGGCTCGCTTGTTCATGGTTCCAGTGAATTCGAACACAACTCACAATCAAGGGTGGCAAAGGCGGCAGAATAATCGAAGTCTCCCCAAAGGGCTTTTGCTGGGGCGCAAACTGGCGAAGCACATCGAGCTTCAGCTGGCAGGGCCACCAGTCATGGCTCCGGGTGCCGCCGCCAGCCGCGTCGCTGATGGTTGGGCATTTCCCAAAAGAGCTTCCCAGTGTATCGAGAGATACCCGAATTTTGGCCCTCGCGACCACCGTGTCGCGCTTGTGGAGGGCGGCTTGAGGACAGCCCGCCGAGAGCAGAGGGAGGAGCCCAAGGAAGCCGGAAAGGAGCGTGGGCGCCATGAAGCCAGGTCAAGGACGGGATGCAGCCTGGAATCGAAACGAGTGACACAGTCCGCTTGGGTAACGAAGAAAGAAGGGAGTTGTTAGTCGATGCCATGATGCCGATCTTATACTTGGCAAATGGCAGCGCTGTCTTGCAAACCCTTGGCACAAACATGTCCCCTGTGCAGGTGACTTCCAGCCTTACGCCGCAAACCACTAATGTCGGCGGTTTTCTTTCAATAAATGGAAGCAAAATAAGTGAGACAACCCACAGTGCTTGACTTGATTCCAGACGCGACGCCATGTCAGTTTGCTTTTGGTCCGTTGGCTGAGACAACTGCAATCACAGTCATCCAGACCCGCCGAGTCTTGAAGGCTTGTGGGCTGAAGATCAGGTCCCGTCGAAAAGCTCGACCTGCTGACATTGCAGAATCATAATTGGCCAGCGGAGAGTTCGGCATTATCAGGTCATTGATTCTTGGGGCTTGCGTAGGGCCTGTGTGGCTTGCCTGCTACCCTCGCAAACCGGACGAGGACCCAGGGTTCAGCTGTCGTTGATTAAGTTGACAAAGGGCTGCGCTGCATTCTGAGCGCCTAAAATTATGCTCAACTTTTCTGCTGCTCGTATATGATTTTTCTCGAATTCAGATCCTGCCGACTTGACGCGGCGCGTTGGTGGGTTTGTTCGGGGACCGCTCCTCGACCCCTCTCTCCCTCCCTCCCCC